CTGGCAAGGATACCAAATATTTTAGAAGCAGAGCTGATGGACTCAAGAAAGCCAGACTTGACACTGATGGCAAGTACCACAAGCGAAACGTAGCAGCCATTGAAGCTTTCATATTTGAGGCACTCAGAATCTCCAGAGCTATGAAACCTCACACCATTGCTGAAGATTTACTATTGTCAGTGGCCAAATACATTGTTCGAGTTAAATCAGAGATGAATTTGTTATGAAATTGAGTGAAATTTCCTTATCTAATGACACTGTCCGCAGAAGAATAGATGACATGTCTGCTGACATGTCTGGATCAGATCCAGGAAATTAAATCTACTCCACTTCCAATAGTTAGCATCCAGCTTGATGAATCTTAAGATGTTGCAAACTATTCACAGTTACTGGTTTCCGTGAGGTATATTAATGATGATGGCTTTAAAGATGAGTTTCTTTTTTTCAAACCTCTTGAAATGACAACTATTGCATGTGATATATTTGACAACGTTGGTTCATTTCTGAAAGAGCATAAGATCTCTTGGGAAAAGGTTTTTGGTATTTTCACAGATGGTGCCCCAGCTACGCTAGGATGTCGATCTGCATTTCAATGTTTGGTACTGAATGAGTCACCAGAAGTCATCAAAACTCACTGTATGATTCATGGACAAATATTAACAATGAAGACACTGCAACAAGAGTTACAAGAAGTAATGAAAAGCGTCATAAGCTCTGTCAATTTTGTAAAGGCAAGCACTTTAAACAGTCGACTTTTCGCAACTGTGCAATGAGTTTGATGTGCCAAATAAGGTTCTGCTGTGTCACACTGAAGTGAGATGGTTGTCAAGAAGAAACGTTTTAAAACGTGTTTTTGAGCTTCACGATGAACTCAAAACGGTTTTTAATCAGAAAGCAAGACCACAGTTTTAAGCACTTTTCAGTGATAAAAGTGAGCTGCAGAAAATAGCTTACTTGGTTAACGTCTTTGTCATCTTGAATGAGTGGAATGTATCACTTCAAGGACCAAATACAACATGCCTTGATTTGTCTGAAAAGATCTGATCATTCCAAATGAAACTTCAGCTTTGGTAAAAAAGATTGGATGAAAATAAAATTTACCTGTTGCCTACCTTATCTGCTTTCTTTGAGGAACATGTCATTGAACCAGGCAAAAGGATTACGGTGATAATTTCTGTGAAAGAACACTTGCACATGCTTGCAGATGAAAATTTCACCATACTTTCCAAATCTACCTGACACCCCATTTGCACTTGCCAGAAGCCCGTTCACAGTCAAAGTGGAAGATGCTCCTGAGACAGCACAAGAGCAGTTCATTGAACTAATTTCCAGCGATGCAGTGAGAACGGATTTCTCTACAATACCAGTCACAAAATTCTGGATCAAGTGTTTGCAGTCATATCCTGTTCTGTCTGAGACTGTGTTGTGCCTTCTTCTTCCATTTCTAAAAACATATCTTCGTGAAACAGGGTTTTCCAGCTTGTCGGTTATCAAGTCTAAATACAGAAGTAGACTTATTGTAGAAGATTATTTTTGTTGTGCTCTTGCAAAGACTGCCCCGAGAATTTCTGATCTGATCAGATAGAAGCTATCTCAACCTTTGCACTGACATTGTCTTTTTATGCATACTGTCACAAAACGTAGCAATGCAGTTTACTGTTATATTAAGACTATGCTACACCATGCTTTCAGACAAAATTTCATTTATTTGTAACTCGAAATAAATACATCTTTCATGTTAGATATTTACATTACAATTCATCACAGTAGCAAAATTACAGTCATGAAGTAGCAACAAAAATAATGTTATGGTCAGGAGTCACCATAGCACAAGATCACAGCATTAGGACACTTGAGAACCACTGATATAAGTAATGTTAAGAATTTTTCACAATAGAAGGTTGGGCTAGCTACCTGATTTGCCCACTAACAGAAATGAACTCGCCTTCTCCAAGACAGTCATGTCCCCACCTCTGCACTTAACTTTCCATTAAGGTCCACTGGGCAAGGGGATTTTTAAAGGGATGCATAGTGTTCTGTTGGGTGTATGGACCAGAGTTTCTTTATCCATTGTACTGAGAGGCCCTTGGGCTGTTTCCAGCTTCTAGCTATTGTGAACTGTGTGTTAATGAACACAGGAGAGCAGATGTCTATTCATGTGGTGCATTTCACTTCTTTGGGGTATATACCCAATAGAGGTATTGCTAGATCATATGCTATTTCTACTCCCAGTTGTTTTAAGTAGTTCCATATCACTTTCCACATTGGTTGTACATGTTTCCAAGCCCATTAACACTTTATAAGAGTCTCAATCTTTCCACGTTCTCTCCAGCATTTGTTATGCACTGCTTTTTTTTTTTAATGGGGCTACATTTGTTGTTGTAAGGTACTATCTCATCATTGTTTCAATTTGCATCTTCTGGGTGGTTAAGAACTGTGAACATTTTTTCATGTGTTTTTTATTCATTTGAGTGTCATTTTTGGTAAATGACGTATTCATGTATTTTGCACAATTTTAAATTGAATTATCCGTTTCTTATTGAGATGTTTCAGAATTCTATAGACTTCAGCAATTGGCCCCCATAATTCATTGTCATTGCTAAATAATGTTCCCCATCTGTGGGCTCTCTTTTTATTCTTTTGATGAAGTCTTTGATGTGCATAGCTGTCTTGTTTTCAGTAGGGACTAGCCACTTCCTTGGTCTTCTACTGTGTGCTTCCTTCATTATATTTGGTAGTCTGTGTATGGCCTGCCATACGGCCATTACGTTTGTTTCAATTTTCTCCTTAATGGTCCTTGCAGATCAGGGGTTTACATTTAGGCCTCATGCATATGGCAAAGCATAGGTCCAATTTCATACTTCTGCAGATGGAGATGGCATTTGCCAGTAGCATTGGTTGAAGATGCTGCCCCTTTCCCATAAAAGGTTTTTTGACGCTTTCTTGAAGATCACTTGCCTATAGGCAGATGCATTTATTTCTGGGTTTTCTATTCCATTCTTTTGGTCTGTGTATGTCTCATTGTACCGTACTAGGCTGTTTTGACTACAGATGTGTGTAATAGATTTTGAGATTAGGTAGTGCAAGACCTCCTACTTTGTTCTTTTAAAGGAAATCTTTGATTATCCTAGGTCAATTTCTCTCCATTTGAAATTTTTAATTTTCCGTTTCTTTAAAAAATAAAGTTGGGGTTTGGATTAGAATTGAGTTGTATTTTAGATAGCTTTGAGTGATAGTAACCATTTCACAATATTAAGTCTTCCTATCCATAAGCCTTGGATATTCTTTCATTTGTGTAGATCTCTTTTGTTTCTTATTACAATAGTTTTAGTTTTCTTTATATACATCCTTTGTTTCATTGGTTAGGTTTATTCTTGTGTGGCTTTTGTGTGGCTATTGTAAATAGTATTATTTTCTTGCTGTCTTTTTAGGAGCTCTCTTTGCTGGTATACAGGAATCCAATTGATTTCTGCTTGCTAATCTTGTACTCTGTTACTTTATTAAGTCCCTAAATTGTTTCTAATAATGTTGAACAAGAGTAGGGACAGGTAGCATCTTAGTCTGGTTCCTGTTTGGCATTCTGTTTTTAATTTCAAGGTGAACGTGCATATGTGCACATATATATGTTACATAAATATTTTAAACATATATTATTAAATTAATGAAGAAACATTTTGATAGATTCATCTGAATTATGTACAAAGAAAGGAAATTTTCTTTGTTCTTAAGATTTTATTTTCTAAAAAACAACATTTGTTTTAAGTAGACATTAAGAGATGTATCCTCGATTTCAAACTAGTCAAATCTTAAGAAGAATCTCTCTAGATGATTTTTTAACTGCTGATATTCAGAAAGACCATACCTTACTTTACTTGATAAGTAACAGGAAACTAATTCATCTTAGGGATCTGACATCTCTGTTTTCTTTCTTTCTTTTTTTTTTACATTGTATGTGTATATATAAACATTGCTTGTATGCATACAGACATACAAGTATGTAGAAATACATATGCAATTTTTATCTATCTGTAGATCTAACAATCTACCTAACTACTTACTTAAAAAGAGAGACTGTAGGATTTAAAATTTAGTACCTATGAATAAAATATATATCAATTTAGTACCTATGAAAAAAATACATATATTGCTAATGATCTATGCTTCTCTGTTAATGTTGCTGTTTTTGTTGTTAAGTGCCATCGATTTGATTCTAACTGAGCTACCCTATGAATACAGAATAAAATACCACGCAGTTCTGTGCCATCCTCACAATAGTATTAATTAATATTAGTATTAATTAATAGTATTTGAGTTTATTACAGTATTCATCTGTGTCAACTCAGCTCGTCAAGGGTTTCCTCTCTTTTGCTGCCCCTTATACGTTACCAAGCATGAGGTGCTTTCCCACGGACTGGTCTCTTCTTAGGTCCAAAATATGTGAGACAAAGTCTCACCATATTTGCCTCTAAGGAGCATTCTGGCCATTCTTCTTCCATGACAGGTATGTTAATAGAGCAATTTCTTTATTTTTAAAGCAAATCCATTTATATATTTTCAAACATATCACATGTATGTTTCTCCAATCATCACCTGCACACAGTCCTAGAGACTTGCAAGATGGAGCAGGAAATTTCTCTCTGAAATAAGCAAAAATCAATAAATTATATTCTGTGAATAACTCATGTAATATAATTTAATACTTTTAGAGTGGCTCCTACATTCTGATGATTATTATTTTCTAAACACAACTCAAAAAAAGTATTGCATTTAAAAAAATGCTTGAAACAAAGTATTGCACTTCAAAAGAACTTGAAAAAATGTGATTAACACAAAACTGTACAGAGAAATACATTAAATAAATATCTGTGGACTATTGAAAAAAAATTAAATATGAATATGAAAAAGGTAGGCCCTTTTTATTGTAAAAAGCTAAAGAAAGGTCATATTTTTATAGTTTAAATTATCCTCCTATGTGCCTGTGATTCAGATATCACATATTTTTATTTACTTGTAAAAAATACAGTCTTTCTTGCCATGTCCATAAAGGCTCGCTTGACTTGTTGATTCCTTAGACTGTAAATAAAAGGGTTCAGCATAGGGGCTACTGAGGTGTTCAGCACAGCTACTCCCTTGCTCAAAGATACCCTGTCTTTGGCTGATGGATTGATATACATGAAAATGCAGCTGCCATAAGAGATGGAGATGACAATCATGTGGGAAGAACATGTGGAAAAGGCCTTTGTCCTCTGACTACTGGAAGGGATTTTCAAAATTGTTCTGATGATATATATGTAAGACAGAATTATTAATGCTAATGTAAACATTAGAGTAAACACAGCACAGGAGATACCCATCATCTCTAGGAATTTTGTGTCAGAACAAGAAAGTTGCAGTAGGGGGAAATAATCACAGGTAAAATGGTCAATGATATTAGATCTGCAGTAGTCGAGCTTTAAGACCAACATGAGTGCAGGGAATATGATTAAGAATGAAGTCAGCCATGAAGAGAAGACCAGCAGTGTGCAGACTCTCTGATTCATGATGGTCACGTAATGCAGGGGTTTGCAGATGGCAATGTAACGGTCATAAGACATGGCAGCCAGAAGGTAAAATTCAGTAACTCCCAAAAGAATGAAAAAAAATAACTGCGTGATGCAATCATTAAAAGAAATAGTTTTATCTCCTGTAACAATGGTGTCTAGGAACTTGGGTATACAAACAGTTGTGAATGAAACTTCTAATAAGGAGAAATTCCTGAGGAAAAAGTACATGGGGCTTTGGAGTTGGGCATCGACCAGGGTAAGGGTGATAATAGTCAAGTTCCCAGTGATGCTGAGCATGTAGGTGATGATCAGAAAGACAAAAATCACAATCTGAAGTTTTGGGTCATCTGACAATCCCAGGAGGATAAACTCTGTTACTGCTGTATGGTTTCTCATTCTTCAGTTGCTTATTTGGTTTTTTACTGCAAGACCTATAGAAGAAAGTGCAAAGAATGAACTTGAAAATAAGAAAAAATCGAGTGACTAACCCAGTCTGGAGCTGCTAGTCAGCTGCAAGTGTATGCTAGTTTACTTTCAAAGGAATTGAGCTCAGCTTTTCTGAATCTAAATAATACCTATAAAATTTTAGAGACTTGACACTAGGTTCTCTTTCAACCCAAACTAACTAAGTGTCATTGTTTCAAAAGCAAGAAGTTTTCTGTTATTTTTTCTCCTATTATTTTAAAAGAGTCTACAGGTATATCAATAGAATGGACAAAATACAAGTATGCACGTATGTCAGTGAAGGTTTAAATTTTCTCAAAAAGAAAAGGATAATTTGACATTTCTTGCAAGGTGAGTGTTTTGTTCTTGTCAGCTACGCAGCTTTGCTTTTTCCAACTGCTACTACCTCATTGGAGGTTAGTAATATTCCAACTCTTGCTATGAAAAGCTCAGACATTTGGGACAGTCGGGAGAAAGCTTTAAATGACAATGGTCAAAAAAGTTGCCAGGGCTTATAATGGACTGCTTATAGCTGAATCTCTGGTGATATTTCATAATGCTTCATCCTACAGAGTGGGATGTGGGTCTTTTTACATTACAGAACATTGACCCAAATCCCTAAGATCCAGATACAGGATCCAGGCCATGAGGAGGAAGAACAGGAGCTAGTTCTATACAATATCGATTTATAGATATTAAACAGACCACCCACACAATAAGATATAATCAGATTATGATTTGAGTGACAGGCTGTGCTCTACCCATATCTTTTTGTAGGAACAGCAAAGTTGACACAAACCTATAAGCTCACCCCTTATCAAATTGACACCAGTATACACCTTCTTATATATACATAATCTCCAAACCAAAGACAAGAATAAAGTCATACTTGCATACAACCAGATACAATTCACACATGTACAAACAGATATGCACTCATCCATTTACATAATAAAACAAAATTTAATGCCAACTATTGCAGTCCTTTTAACAACCACCTGTTTGAATACTATGATCTTATCAGATCTTCTCCCACCTTCTCTTTCTAAGATCCATCAGAAAAATAGAAAACTATTTAGGAGTGGTCTTCAATTTTTTCCACTTATTTCAGACTAAGTACACCCTTACAAGTTTGTAAGTCAACCACTTTAGGCCTTTATCTACCCCCGATTTGGATATCCATATTTTAAATTGCACATTCCCATCAAATCAGTATTCTAAGGAGATGAACATTTTCTTTGATGCAGAAGAGATTGTCTAAGAAGATGAGCATTTTCTTTGATGCAAAGAATCATCATTCCAGTTGGAACTTTAGCTATTTGCATCCGCAAGCAATGTCCAATCTAGAGTAGGTCATCCATCAAAAGTGTAGCAACGCACAGCACATTTATTTTCATTAGGTTGGATTCTGGTCTACTCAATCATAGCCATAGCTAGATCAACAGGGAACCATTGCTTTCTGGTCTGTTCACACACTCTCATCAGTCTTAACCTTCCCAGGCTAGGTCATGTTCATAGGCTCAATTTCTATGAAACTGTTTAACCATCAGATCACCCCGCCACTCCCTCTCTCTTAACCTCAGTGTATCAGATTGATGGATTATGTTCAAACTCAGTCCTTCTCTTCATTCTTATATTTCCTTCACTTCCACTCAACAAATTAATCCAAGTTGTCACCTAAATAAGCATGTTAAATTGTTTAAATTTTAGTCCCAGACCAGCAACCTAGTTGTATAAACAATGAATTATGAGGTGATGGTTTACGACTTCAGTAGAACAAACTATGAGAAATTCAATAATTAAAATGTGTCCGTGTAATTTCAAAGTAACAGAGAATACTATTCTTGGAAGATATTTAAGAATACCTGTCAATATGAATCACAATAAATTCAGTGGCAGATTTTTGGGTTGCTTATCTTATTGATTCAATGGCTGTAATTTTTTAATCTTGTCAATAAATTGTATTTTTAATTTGTATCTCTTAATTTCAGTCATTAAAAACAAATGATAAAAAAAAAAAAATTTTAGTCCCAGAAGAGAGTTTTCTCTGATGGGTACAGACTTTTCCAATTTTGTGCATCCAAAGGTAAACTGCTTACTTAAAATTTTAAAAAGCCAAATAGACATGCACACTAATGTCCATTGCATAACTCTTTACAACAGCAAGAAGATGGAAACAGCCTAAATATCCATCAGTAGAAGAATGGATAAAGAACATTTGGCGCATATACACAATGGGAAAAATATGCATCATTTCCTCATGGCACAAATGGATCTGGAGACCACTGTGTTGAGTGAAATTAATCACAAAAGGATTAATGTTGTGAGACCACTGGAATAAACAAACAAAATCAATATAAAGATTTTGATACCAAATGAAACAGACTGATGATTATAAGAGTGGGGAGAGTAAATGAGAAAAGATGAAGCTACAGGTATTCAATTGGATGAAAGGGAAGTAGTATGCCACAAGATGGAGAAGAGAAATCAAAAGAGGGGTGAGTAGGGTCAGCTATTGGGGTTTGATGATTAGCTTAAGTTGTACAATACAAAACTGATTATCTGAAATGTAAGCCCTCATCTAACTCACACACAAAAATGTTATTTTTAAAATAGAAAACTAAAAAATATAGTTACTTTTTTTCAGTTTCTCCGTCAGCAGGTCTAGGTGGGCCTGATTCTATTTTTAAGTGCAAATATCCTGACACTTAAGGTTTGGATGGAACTCACCTCAATCTCTCCCTGTTGGCTTAAAACAAAAGTTTGCTTCTTTTGGAAATTTTCAAATTCCAATTTTAGCAAAGTTCAATCAAATACATGCGAAAAACAAGCTTATAAGCTTATAAGCTCTACAATCACAATTCTCAATTTTCATTTTTATCAAACACATATTTCTATTTTACAGCATTAGATAGAAGAATACAATATCTCTAACAAAGTCAGCTAAAATATAGCCCTTCATACAATCCTTTTGAAAACAATATTCAAGTTCAATTTTCTCTTCTCTATATCATCCCATCATATGTATACAGCATTGGGTATCTGGCTGGTTGAATTCACCAGACCGAGTCTCATAACAACTATATTGTTTAAATAACCTGGCTTTTGCCCTGGGGACTTCTAAAAGCATTTTTCTTCCCTCAGCTGCAACTTAACATCCATTATATTCCCTTCATCTACTTCAGGTAAGGACAACCAAGGAAGACTATTAAGAATGAAACATTTCATTGTCCATGTCCAATTCTTTCTTCACTTACAAACTCTCATGCTTCCAGGAGTCTGAATCCATTGCAATGAATTCCACTTCAGATACCGAGTAAATGGAGGCCTATCTGTCCTCTCCAGCTACATAAGAATGAAGAATCCAACATCATCTGATTGCCATAAGGCAGAAGTCAAACATACCTTGTCTTATATCCTTAACCATTCATTCAAAACTGTTGACATTAAGACTTTCATTGTTATCAAGGCAATAGCGATTCATAGTGACTTCCTGTGGGTTTCTGGGACTGTAACTGTTTATGGGAGTAGAAAGCCCAGTCAATCTCCCACAGAGATGCTGGTGGCTTTGACCTGCTGAGCATGTAGATCTCAGCCTGACGCATAACCACCACACCACATTGAAACACTTAAAAAATAATAATAATTTAAAAAGCCAAACTGTCATTAAGTCAATGCCCATTTATAGCAACCCTTTAAGACAGAGTAGGACTGCGCCTGTGGGTTTCCTGCGGATTTCTGAGATGGAAACTGTTTATGGGAGCAGAAAACACTGTCTTTCTCCCATCGAGTGGCTATTGGTTTAGAACTGCCAGCCTTGATGACCATAGCCCAATCCAGAAACACTAGCCCAATCTAGCCACTAGGGTTCCTTATTGAAATACTAGTACTATAGCAAAAGAAAACAAAAATGTATTATACAATACCCATCTGGCCTTCTAGGCAAGTAAATCTATCTACATCATCTTATCTACATGGTGTTGACCAATCCTGTTCTTGCATATCTTTCTTCAGCTCATCACCATCAGACACACATACAACCTATTGTTTCAATCCCAACTAAGATTTGATTATCATATTTATAGCTTGCTAGATGTTTGTCAGATGTCAGCACCACTATCAATGGCTACTTAGTTTCTCTGCTTCTTAATAATAATAATTTTATTATTATCTAAGAGTAATTTTGTGGCTAGAATGAAATAATAAGTGACAAGGGGCTTGAGTAAGTTCAGGGGAAATATTACATTATCATTCAATCCCATTTTCCCAGGAACGTTTTCAAGCCCATGAGATATATATGTACATGAACATAATTTTGTGGATAGCACATTGCAAAGCCAACCACTAAGTTTTATATTCATTGTTTGGGTATCCATAAGCACTTTATATTCACCCTTCTCACCCCACCCACACTTAATAGCTATGAGTTATCACACTATCATGTGAATTCTTGACATTTTGGACAGTGTCTAATCCTCAAAGTGATTACAACATAATCCAGTACTTAGTATATGTTGCATTGTTGTGAGGCTTGGGGGTCATTCTAATTCACAGTCATCTTATCAGACAGTGTGTCTTAGGCTATAATTTTAACTGAGAGAATACTAGTGATATGATGGTTTAGCATTCACTTGCAAACCAAAATGACATCAGCCTGCCAGTCGTTAGACATTACAATCTTGGAAACCCTAGGCACAGTTTTAATGTTTACTCTTGGTCTCCTGTGTTTCAAAGTCCATTCAATACCATCAAAGTAATCTTTATCGGAGCTGATTGCCAGGGCTTTTCTTCTGTGTAGCACTAGTAGGTATGAATCATATTCTTTGGGTTATCTGGTGAAAACTCTACCATTGTGTGACAAGAGTACTCTGTTTAGTATATGAAACCAAACCAAATCCACTGTCATCAAGTTGATTCTGACTCAAAATGACCCTTCTTTGAGGTTCCAAGAC